TGCATAGATGCCAAAGTCTACGCTGCTGCTGCAGAGACGCATTTCAAACAGCATCACTAATAATCAGACCTTGGGTTACGGATTCACTGAAGGTCAGAAAGCAGCCTTGGGTTCCTGTATTGAGAGAACACAATAATTACCAGGCCGAGCATACTAAATAGCATCATCATGAAATATTGCCATAGCACAGAAGGTCAGAGGAGACTGTATTGATAGAAGACGTGATGAGAAATGTTTAAAAGCAGAGTCGAGGCAGCCGTGTTTGTGCTGCACGTTTCAGTGGAGCGGAAAAAACATGAACATGCACCAATAAAAGAAGCAGATTTAAGTTTACAGATAATTAGTGGAGTCATCACGAAGCAGCTCTGCGCCTCATGCACGAGGATTCAGAGGAGGATTCTTAAATGACCCAGCTGCAGCTCCTTCAATTTCCACGAAACACACACAGTTCACACAGCTGCTTTGATGAATGAAAAAAAACCCAAAACCCAAAAACAACTGGCGTGACTGTGCTGCCCAGCTGCAGCACACAAACTAATCTGAGCATCATTTGGTCGTGACACAATCAATGTCGAGACAAGGTTTCAGTAAAAGCCTTGATGAACGCATGTAAAGACGAGCTATCTGTCCAGAAATGACCTGCGCATACACCGGCGTGTCTGTGTGTGTCTGTGTGTGTGTGTGTGCCAAATGTCTAACACAGTGTTTGTTCCGCTGTTAGCAGATGCCAGAACTCGGTGACAGCTGCGTTTGTCCTTCACACACACACACGCACGCACATACACACACGTGTCTGTATACACTGTCCACATACTACGTAACTACACACACACACACACACACACACACACACACTCATGTGCCATTTGGTCTAAAAGCTCCCCCTCCACCAAAACAGAAGCAAAAAGCTTTTATTGCTCCATCATGTCACTGCACAGATGTGCTGTACTTACATTTCATTTATTCATTCCCAACTCTTCACCTCTGCTTTGTTTTGTAACAGGCTTTCCCCCCACATGTCTTCCTCTCATCTGTTGCTTGATTAGGTCGTCAGCTAAGTGCACTTGTTGTTTGGAAAAATTAAAGGTGGAGTCCGCAACACAAAACACTTCTGGGAATTTGTCCTCACGGTCCGCTGGCTGCTGGTTCTGAACCAACTGTGTAGACGGGAAACAAACACAGTGACTTGGATCGATCCAAACGATAGTACAGAAGTGTGTTTGAGAGAATCAATGTAAATAAAAAACAACAATCTCTCTCCAGAATTGCAAACACCACCTTTAATTGACATCTGCAGCATTTTTTATCATCCTTGGCACATTATTAACTTTAAAGTTGTGACAGAAAGTTGCCTGTTTACGAAGAAAACGTAGAAATGTGTTTTTCTGTTTTGGTTTCCACCAAATCCTGAAGAAAGAAAGAAAGAAAGAAAGAAAGAAAGAAAGAAAGAAAGAAAGAAAGAAAGAAAGAAAGAAAGAAAGAAAGAAAAGAAAACTGTTGAAATCTAGCAGCAAGAGTACCAGAACAAATATGTTGAAAAGGGGTGGAACACCAATGTGATCAGAAACTTAAAATTAAAATAATAAAATAGAGAGAGAGAGAAATAAAAGGAAGATAATGCCAAAAGCCTAAAAGTGACAACATTTTCAGCTAATTTAAATACAGTTACACGGTGTGATTTTATGGTCACATACTGTAAGAGAACAAATTATTAAAATTATCCATTTTGATGTTGATGTTTTCTGTGATTTTACACGTTTTTCCCTGTAATTTACCAAAACAGGGCAAAATAAAAATAAATATAACACATACATATTTAGCATTGTTCAATCCTTCATATACACATTTTTTTCTTCCAAATAATGACAAATATATTCAAATTAAGAATATTTGTTGCTGATTTAAATACATTACAATGGTGTAATTGTATAGTAAATAAAACTACCTTTTAATTTGATATATTTTTTTACTTTTTCCTGTGTTTTTATTAGACTTTATCTGTGACTCAGCAAAACTGTAAAAATCTGTAGAATAACAATAAATAGTTTAAAACAGTTATAGACTATTAAAATAGTTCATTTCTTACAGTTTATCTTAATCAGCTAGTCGTTCACTTTGCCTGTTGCTGAGCAGGTAACAGACAGCAGAGCGTTTTTAGCTGAACACAACGTTGATGAGTTACTAAAAATAAATTATAAAAGGCTGAGAGACCTGCAGAGCTTTGGAATAATGAGCAGATCTCGACCAACACTGTTCAAATGAAACATTCATTTGAGTTAAAGTTGACATATTGATTCCAGCAGCTTTAAGTGAAGTCGGACTGGACAAGAACATCCACAGAGCTCAGCTCTTTTTAAAGCCAAACTGAATTCAAGTCATCCTTTCTTGTCGCCACATTCCTTCTCTCATCTCTGAGTCTGAGTTTTTAGGTTTCCATCATTGTGGTTTTGACGGGTCCACATGTCCACCGGTCTATAGTCTGGGAGGAATCCTGCAGCAGTTTATTTATTAAATCATTAAATGTTTACTTCATTCACTGAGTTAAAACCAAAACAATTAAACACGACACAAACTCCTGAATGAAAGGGAGCAGAAAGAATCTCATGTTATATCTGCCTCCTTTACCCAAAGAAATACGTTTACAACAAACTTAAATGACAAAAAGCATCAACAACAAAACAAAAAACATCAAAATATTCACAACAACAATAACATGAAACAGCTTCTTCAACGCTGACAGTCACGTTTTACTTTATTTTCTTTAATACTCCTTAAAAAAAAACAGAAAATTTGACCTGATTATTTACTGTCTTTACAATCAGACAGAATTAACATATATCCTCCTCAACATACTGGATTTAATTGTTCTTTTAAATGTAAATATTGATTCTTTGGTTTCTTTGTTCAGATTGTTCCATAAACTGATTCCCTTCACAGAAACACAATGCTCCTGTTTTATTTAACCTTTATTGCTTCAGCTTCACTTGTTGCCGTACAGTCGCCCCAACAACAAGAATAAACACATTCATTTGAGGATTCAGGTGTTGTTCAGTCGAATTCTATCTCATATTCACTCCTGTTTCGCATTACTGCTGGTTTATCTCAACACTGACGGCGGTGAAAAACCTTCCTGAGGTCTCATTTAGAAAGAAAACAGATCAGTCTGGATGGATTTGGGGGAAAACATTATATTTTTACCACATTCACAGCATCAAGGTGTGAAAAACATGTGATTAAGTTCTGGCCTCCGGCTAATAATCAAAGTGAATGACAGGCAGCAGATGTGATCGAAATAATGAAAGAGTCGTAAAGCTGATAGAGACGAAGCTTTGTGCCGCGTTTAAGGCTTCAGTTGTCTGACGCCTTTTTCAACTGTTTGCTGTTTGGATGTAAACGTCAGCATTAAGAGCTGAGGATGTCGATTGGTTTATATCTTCATTTACAGTGTTTTTAAGTCACTCATTGTGTCTTTTTTGTTTTTCTACACTTTAAAATTCTCTTGGAACAGGGTTACTGAAAAGCAGCAGTCAATAGGAAGCTAAGAAACTTTAATCTCTTGGGTGGAAAAACTAAAGCAGCCTTTTTTTTAGCAGCAGAGAGCATAAAGTCTAAAGGTTCTGAACAAACTGTTCAAAGTGCAGGAAGTCAGAACCGGGTGACCTGAGAGGTCTGAGTGGCTCGCAGAGCGTCCGGCCCGCTTTCTGCAGCGAGGTCAGCAGCTCTTTGTGGAGCCAGACGTCTAAAAGTGAGCCGTGTACTGAAAGCAGCTGCACAATATGTTGTTTTTCTTCTTTTTTTTTTCCCGTCAGGACTTTGTGCTCAAAGCAGAAACAGTCTTCTGAGTCCATTAAAGCTTCGGCTCTCTGGACAAACTTCTCTGTGAAGCTAATTTAAAATCCTGGCTGCTGTGGCTTAGTTTTAGGGTAGTGCTCATTTACTTAAACGGCTAATTAGTGTATGATTGCCTGCAGGGAGGGAGGTTCACTGTTTCATACTGCAGCTACACTTAATAAACCGGATTTATGTAGAGTTTCCACTGTAATCAACTAAAACTATAACTGTAGGCGCCTGTGAATCACAACATTGTCTTCTATTAAAATGTAGGAACATTCCCTGAAGGTTCCCTGGATGTTCCGTTTTGCTGGGATGTGTATTTAATCTTTATGATCCAGAACTATGATCTACCAACTCTGTTTATCATTGAGATGTAGCACCAAAACAATAAAAGATAAAGGATTAGAAACATTGTTTGAAGTGACAATTTGTAGTCTATTAAATATGTTTTAGAAACCCAGGAAAAATATTAAACTTAATGTTTAAAATATGAAAAAAATAATGTAAAAATTGCACAACTCAGGACTTCATTGTGAAGTGAGCAGTAAGATTCTGAGCCGCCAAAATCTAGTGGCTACTCTAAATGATGCTTCGTGTTCAGTTTACAGTTTTGGCTGCAAAAAAGCTTCAGATTTCTTGCAGTTTTTAACCAAATTTTAGAAAAACGGAACGGCATTAAATGTTTTGTAAGTTGCAAAAGAAGGCAGAGACCTCTCCAGGTGTGGTTTAGAGAGGAATCGCTCTTCAGTTGATCAGAATCAGATTCATTGCCAGGTATCGTTTACACAATTTGTTCTGGTAGGTCGGTGCAATGATAAATATTGAGTAATGTACGAGATAAAAATATAAAAATAGCTTAAAAACAAAAGTAACTGCAAATAAAAATGACTGTAATAGTGCAAAGCAGAAGCAAAAACATACTGTGGAGTGAAGAATTAAAGTTAGATTTAAATAAGAACCATAAAACTGTCATATTATTTACAAGAATGTTGACATTTACATTTATACGGATGATCAGAAGAGTGCAGACTGAAGGTGTGGAGGTACAACATGAGCGGTAACAGCGCAGATGATGAGCAAAAAGAGAGAAGAACATGTGCAGCTCACGTTGGTCGACGTCATATTTCAACACGATGAAAAACTTTTGCTTTCTTTGCCGCTTGCAGGAGGTGAAGTACTTCCAGTTCCCCGGAGAGCTGCTGATGAGGATGCTGAAAATGTTGATTCTGCCCCTCGTCGTCTCCAGGTAAGATTCAAACACTTCTGTTTGCCACACTGGGTGGAAGAGTTGCTTCATGTTAGTGTTCATTTCTAGGGCTGGAAGAAAAAAAAGTACATTTACAGTAAAGAATTTAAACACAGAACCTCCTGTGAAGTGGAACTCCGTGAAGCCTCTGTTCTACCTCCACTCACACAAAGTGAGTTTTGCTCTCTTGTGCTGCAGAATGATTCACAGGCAGCTCCCTGTTGCCTCGGGCAGCGGTTAATATGACTTTGAACATGGAGAAGCTCACGGCTGCCGACCCCACACGTCTCACCTCCTCTTCTGAACTGATGGATTATAAAAAGTCTGAGAGCCGCTGGGGCTGCATCAGAATGAGGAGTTTTACCTGTAGTGAGCACACAGGGAATATACTGTCAGTGTCTGGACTCAAGGATTCAAGGATTCAAGGCCTCACAAACACAGTTGCACATCGTATGTGAAATGCTTTGTGCACCTGTTCCACACCGAAACAATAAGAAGAAGAAGAAAGAATAAAACACACAAGAAATATATACATATAGAGAGAGAGAAATAGAAATAAGCAAAAATGAATCAATCAAACCGTCAAACAGTGCAAAAAGGAAATAAAACAAATAAAGAAAATCATAATATTATATGTATGTA